TACCGTCCACAGGTGATAGGGTGCACAATAACTAGCCCACTCGGTGGCAAAATCCTAACATCTTCTATTAGGACTTCAGGTATTAATCCTTATCTGGGGTTACTTCCCTTCCTCTTTTAAATGCCACTGGGAAAGCTTGAGAGTCATTTGGCCCTGTGCACAAAATATCTGTCCAGAGAGGTCTGTATCCGGCATTTCTTGTAAAGATTTGTCTGAAGTGGACACAACACTGTCATTGTACTGTTGCATATGGGCCTGCAACAGCTTTTGTTAGGGTGAAGTTCATTCCAAAAATGTTTTGCGCTTCGGTCCACTATCCACAAATGTTAATAATCTTGAAGAAGGCACCTTAAAAAGGATAATTACTGTCCATTCCCTCAGGGGCACCTTCATCTTGCATTATTATTATTAACTCCTTCATATATCCTTATAGCTCCTCTTCAGTGACGCACATCCAGGAAATTGTCTACAAAAAATTTTTACCCAATTACTTCGGCTCAGTGGCCCACCTGTGCACTTAAGGTGTGCTTTATCGTCTCCTGAAGTAGGAACAAATTATTATTTAACTGTTATTAATTATTTCATTATAAGGCATCAACCGTTTCTGGTGTCTCACTCCAGTTCGCAGAGCTAGCCTTTAGCTGTCCATATCCATTCTATAATTATAGGAATTCTGAATGGTGCTGCTTCCACCGAAGTCATACCCAGATTTAATTTTAACATCCTTCAGGTATTGTTCCTGAGTAAAGGGATCATTTGGACTTTCCTCATTTACATTAATCCCTATGCTGTCCAGCTCCCACAAATTCGACTGGTTCAACATCATCCTCGATAGAAGAATACTTGTACTGGGTTAACCTTTTATGAGTAAGACACACGGTGGCTGTATTTACCACTTCCTCTAGTCATTATTACTATGTGGTAGTCTGCCATATATTACATGGCCCCTACCAGTGTTGAGGAGAGTGAGTGACGCCACATGGTTTTGGATTTATGCCCTTTATTCCTGAATTATTACATCCAACACCGGCAAGGGTACCTCAGCTAGGCCATCATTATTGCCATTAGCTGCAACCTTTACATTAGTCACTGTAGTGTCAGGGTTATTAACACTATCATTATTGCCACCATTATTATTAGAATTACATACACCCTTGCACATACTGTATGGTGCCTTCCCTTGTTGCATTTATTGCTACTGTTCAAATTGGCATGACAGTTCTTTACATAATGATTGCCTAGACATCTGATACATACGTCAAGTTCTTCCATTCTTTCCACTTTAACATCCCATGTATTATAAGCATTACAATTCTTAGTGAAATGAGTACCTTTGCAGAAGAGACAGTCTCTCTTTCTTTGCCTGACCTTTTATCATCTGGGTTACCCTTTCTGAGGTACTTATTCCTCTTACTTTGATATGAGGAACCACTATTACTGATTCCTGTCACTTGATATGTGTCTATGTAACCCTTAATATGACTATTGCCACTGGATTATTTTTCCTTTGTGAGACTTAACAGATACCTCAGTCATTATGTGTTATATCCTTAGAACTGTTTGGCTGACTGGTCTGCAATTGAACAATTAATTCTCGCCGACCTAGTCTGATTTCCTCCAGGCTGTACTCTGGAGGTTTTGGCAAACCCACCCTTTGCATTAATAGGTTGATCAACTGCCTGGTTTACACCCTTTAATTTATTCAAAGCCTAACTTTCACAAGACAGTTTTTCTTCCAATTCGTAATGCTGATTAATTAAAATATTCATTTCTTTTTCCATCTGCACAATTCTCCAGCAGATCTCTTTCATAGTTTTTAAACCACAATTTGTACCACCCAAATCTTCTCTCAAAGCATCTAAATATAACTTTAATTCATTAGGATTCATAGTTTCTTGATTCATTAAATCCAAGCACTTACTGTATGCCTCCATCACATGGCCTTTAATAGCATGTAGTGATGTTTTCATTACTCTAAAAATCCATGTACTTGTCAGCCATATTAACTCCATCAGATCCAATCATACTTAAGAAGACGCTTTATAAGAGTAATTCTTGCACTATTACTCTTGTGTAAATTCTAGCCACACATGTGCTAGCAGTTAATTGGCTAATTACCATCCACCACACAATCAATTAAATTTGTGTACACTATACCCACTTCCTTAAATCAGTCACTTAATTATTAACCCTTTCAGGGTCGAAAGGCCCTCTCCTAAACTTGTTCTCAGGGTCGAAAATTTTCCAGAAAAAAAAAATTATTTTTTTCTTATGAAATGAAAAGAGAATCATAATGACACCAAAAGTATGAAATTTGATAGAAAACTTACGGAATTATGCTGTCACGAAATTAGTAGTCTCAATGATGTTTACACATCGGCGATTTCGCCCACTTTGAGCCCTATTTTCTGCCAAATCCTGTGTACTAGTCGACAAAAATCATATTTATTTCACTAGAACTCCATTTTTTCTATCAAATGAGTAAAAAAAAAAACTCATTTACCATTTCAAACTATTCAATATAGTGGTTAGAAATTGGCAATTTTGTCAGCATAGTTGTTGATCCCTACATGTGTTTTATAGCTTGTATGAGTATCATAGTACTATACATGTGTTTTATATAGTTGACGCTATGCTAGGCTCAGTGATTAGCTTGTGTGATGTCACTGATGCCGCAAGAGTGCAGGGGATGCGCTGTCCCACTCTCACTCCACGCTTAGGTCTAAACAGGCAACACAGGCAGTTTGGGCTCCCTTTCACACTCTGCTAATAAGTGTTACCATCCCTTTTA